GTCAAGCGTGTCATATTTTAACTGGGTGGTGTATATGGTTAATTGGAGTACTGTGAAGCAGACAATAATTAATAATATGAAAAGCGTGAAATTAGGGTGACCGGCAGTTACCTGTAAAGACGGGTTGTCAAAGGCAAATGTCACGCTTTTAGGATTATTGCAATTATTGAAAGTGATGAGGCCTTTAATGATGACAACGATATTTTCAAAGAGAAGAAAATAAAAAAAAACTGCAGGGCGGAGGCGTTTGAATTATGGGGAAACAGACACACTGCCTTTTAGAAAAAATAATGTTATCTAGAACAATTAGTGCCACGATACCAAAGTAAATAGTCACGAATGATAACAAATGAACCACGAAACATTATATTTAAATGAATATATTATCGTGCAGTGTCACTTAGAGTGGTACTTGATACCAGTGATTTTGAATAGCATTACTCTAAAAAAAAAAAAACCTCAACTACTTACCCATATCGGCCAATACTACAACGTTCTTAGGATCGATTCGGTGATAGGTGAAATACGATTGAGTTAGAAAAAAATATGAAATAGAATTTGTCAATTATTGCTCGATTATTTGTATAGTTCACTTAGAAATTTGAGGGTTGGTAAATGACAAGAAGTTGGCATAAATATACCTATAATGTCCGGTACTATAACAAGCACAACCGTCTATGTGATAGTATGCCCAAACATGAATTTGCATAATGAGCAATGATCTTTAGCATCATTGATGCTACAATAGCAATTTAAGGTGAAAAAAAATGACATGACTACTTAATCTGGTAATATAATTTCGTTTAATTGCACTCGTCACATAGATACGTAACAGCAGTGATGTTAGATAACATTTTTCATCTCTAATCCAAGAAAGAACTCAAAAGATTCTCCATCGCTTGCTTTCTTTGCAAGAAAATCCGTTACCATATTTGCCTCCCGGTACACATGTTGGATTTTAGCATTTACCCTATTAGCTAGAAGTAGAATTTCATCCCAAAAATCTTGATAACATTTTTTCATTGCAAAAAAAAATGACATGACTACTTAATCTGGTAATATAATTTCATTTAATTGAACTCGTCACATAGATATGTAATAGTAGTGATGCTAGATAACATTTTTCATCTTTAATCCTATTTCCACTTATAATAAGGTTTGCAAAACAAACAGAACCTAGCGTGAGATTAAGAAAGAGTCTTTTAAGTAACTGTGGCTTTTTTCTTGGACTAATCAAAAAGCATTTAGATTCGATTTGACCTCTGCCTGCCCTAAACATCATGGGTCCAATCTCATGCTTATCTTTTACTTTATCATTCACTTATTATTCCAACTGACCCAAACTCCCATGTTTTTCTCTATTCTACGGTGTAATTTCTTAAAATTTATTTTTAATTACATTTTTTACGAGATTCATAATCTTTATTATTATATTTCATTAATTTTTATTAAAATAGATTAAAATTTTATTTTTTATTCGAATCAAATTGTGACTTCCTAACCTTTTATTTAAAATGGTATCACGTTAAATGCCTACCGTACAACCAATATGCTACACAATTTTTGTTAATTAATTTGTTAGTGTTAGTATGTAATTATTATAGTCGTACCAAGTTGGGATGAAAAAGATACATATAAGATAATTCTTTTTTCTTTTTTAAAAAAATTGTCGTTCGAATCAAAGAATTGAATATTATTAAATTATTAAAATAACATATCAAAAAAAAATACACTTGCCATACTATATATATATATATATAGTGTAATAAAATATAAAAACATACTATTTAAAAAAGGATAATGCTACTTATAGTCGCTCACTACACCAGTCGCCCTATATGATACACACATGTCAAGTGTGTATTTGATGCATTAAATGTGGTAAAAAAAACTACCACATTAATGTATCAAATAACTACATGTCATGTGTGTGTCACATAGAATGACTGCTGCAGTGAACAATTACAAATAGCATTACTCTTTAAAATATGTGTACAATAATGATGAGATTTAAGGTCCCCCAAAATCTTGAAGGAGGGACCTGACCTGACCTGCCCTAATAAATAAAATAGGACTTTCACGTGTGTTCTTGTCAACCTGAGTTGCTTCTCGGTCAAACAGACAATTTATGCTACTCATAATCGAAATTAATTCAAAACTTAAAACAAGATAATTTTAATTAATTGCTTAAAAGAGAAAAGTTGAAAAAGTGACTTGTCACCTGATTTGTGTGTTTGGTCTACTCCTACTACTTGTCCTCTCTTTCTTTACTATATGCCAACTTTATTTTTTTTNCTCTTTCTTTACTATATGCCAACTTTATTTTTTTTATTAAAGTCTAATGTATAAATAATTCATTTAATGGATACCGTCAAACTTTAAGCTCGCAAATGAGATCATTTAGCGCTTGTTTGATAAAGAGTAAAATTAAATTTTAAAAAATTTTTAATGACAATTAAATTTTAATAATTTTTTATAGAAATCGATAAAATGTGTAGTTGAAAAGTTACATTTTTTATATATGTGATTAAAATTAATTATTGACTTTGATTTGAATTAAATTTTGATTTTAACTTTTATCAAATGGGGACTTATCTAATACCATATTGAACTATCCCATTAAAAGAATCGGGTTTATTAGCACAAAAAGTCCCTATGTGTGGATTTCATTGTGCAAAACGTTTTAACGTTGCATTTTTACCTGTCACGCGTTTTCTATAACGTGAATTATATCGCAAGTGTACGGTGTCAAGTTTTGTAATATAGTAATAGACTTACGAACTCACAGAGATTGTAATTTAATTCTTACCAAGTATTATAATTATTTTAGTTTTTGCTTTATCTAGACAAACCAAATTTCAATTCAATGTTTTTATCCAAAAATAATATGAATGTGTGATTATTCAAATGGAAAGAAAACAATTTATAAGAGAATAACAATGTGAGAAAGCCTAGGGATTGATTTCACCTCACTATCAACAATGTTTTTCAACTTCTATAGTCACTTCTATCGATTTTTCCTGAATTCATAGGCAAGAATCACAAATTAAACTATATTCCCTCTCTTAAGTGCCGAATAGAACCTATTTCTATATTTTAATCTCAATATCTCCATTCCGAATTAGTACTATTCTTTAATATTCGTGTTCTAAGAATTTAGAAATAAATCTCAAAGGAATTACACTTTCTCTCGAAACTTATAATTTTATAAGTTGTGCCATTCTTAGATCACGCCTAAATTTTTCTCTCTCGTGTGCCGAAATTTAAATCATCAAATCATTCAATTATTGATCAGGTAATTGAAAGCAATGCGCAAGAATTAACACAAATGAATTAATGGAACAATCGATTGAATTAACTATAAAAGAATCCAGCATGTCTCAAGATCAGTTACATCAAACCCTAAATATTAAAATTAACTCATAATAATTAAAATCAACATATCAAATTCTAAATTAAAGAACATGGAGAAGAAAATGATAAGAAAAAACTCATTTATGCTTGAATTCTCCCCCAATCTCTTATTGTTTTTGCTCTAGATCGACCCTTCTTCCTCGTCTTCTAAGTTGTCATTTCCCCCCTCAATTAAGTCTTATAACTTGTATTTATAGCCTCTTAAAATGTTAACTCGGAATGAGGTTGGACCGGGCCGAAAAAATTAAGAAAACAAGTTTTTTTCTCTTATCGGGAAGCGACGCCCAAGGTTGGCACCAACCATTCTGAATTTTTTTGTTTTCTTTGTATTTTTGGGCACCGAGCCCAACATTCTGCCTCGTCTTTATTGTTCTTCTTCTCTATTTATTTTGCTACTCCTTTTGGTCTTCACTCCACTTCATTCTTCTCTTCCTTCATCTTCACGTCATACCTCCTTCCATGATCATCATCATAACTCCATTTCAAGTTCCAAAGCACTCTATTTTCATCCAATTTGTCCAACTATAAAACAACACGAACACACACATCAAACGCTCAAAAGTGCACATCAATTTCAACATTTCATTGTGGAAATCATCTTTTTTTCTCATCATTTTTCATTAAATTTTATTAATAAAAGTTGTGAAAAGATGAATATATTCTTCTATTTACATAAAATAAAATAAAAATAAAGAACTAATTGTAATCATACTTTCAATTTTTTTGAAAAAGTGTAAACGAGTCCCAAATTAATTATTAAAAATTAGAAATAAAAGAAAAATTCCCTTTTCTTTTTCATCCTTCTCCCTCCTCCACCACCATCTTAAAAAAAAATAATTAAAAATTTTATAGTGTTGTTTCAGAACCCAAGGACCAAAAGAAACAAGTTTTATCTTCAAACTAAATAAATAAAAGCACCAAATTCCTCAATATCATGTTTGGTGATAAAGCAATCACCAAATGTAGGAAAGGAAAGCAAAATTGACAGAATCCCTAGTCGGTTCTCGACGATCCAAGCTTCCTTCGCTGTGAGTCTAGTCGAAAATCCATGGATCACATTGCGATAAGCATAAAGCATTTCAGTCGATTTCGACACTGATTTGAGTGAGTAGTGAGAAATAATAATAATAATAATCTAATTTTTTTTTAATAATTTATTTGAAACTCGTTTGCACTTTTCAAAAAAAAAAATTAAATTTTCAGAGTATCATTACAATTAGTTGTTTACTTTACTTTACTTTTATTTTTATGTTATTTAAATGCGAGTATATTCGTCATTTCACAATGAAAAATAATGAAAATAATAATTTTTGCAATAAAATATTGAAATAGAGATAAAAATGCAAAAAAATAAAATGCTAGCACGTTTTGCACCATAAACTCCATACGTCGTGACGTTTGGTTCTAATAACCCAAAAAAATTAGTGGTTAGAGTATAGATGTAAATATATTATTTTAAATGCCATTTTTATTATTTAATAATTATTAACTAAATTTAATAGAATCTCTCTATAAACACTCTTTCTAGTGCTATCAATGTAAAGTTTCTCTTCACTCTCTCTCTCTAGGTTTCTCGTTGATGAGAGATGGAGTTGGGCTTAAGCTTAGGAGATGCATCAAAAGATTCAAAACCAGTTGGATTCTTGACGAAGAACGGTGACTCAGAAAAGCATAAGAAAAATGGTTTTGGGTTCTTCATGGAGTTGGGTCTCAACACAAATGGTGGAAATCAAGAACTTAAAGAGAGATCACATGAAAATGATGGTGGTGATGATGATCAGACTTCAGAAGATACAAGGGCTTCCATGGAAAATACTCCGATTCAGCTCGATCTTCTTTCTCGTGCTCTTGTTCCTCATCAAACTCCATCTCAAATTCAACCCCTTCCATGGACTTCTGATAATGGTGATAATTCGTATTCCTTTTTGTAACCAAATATTTGAGGCGAATTGTGGGCTCTTTAATAATTTTTCCTCGTATTCTTAAAGGAAAAACTTCTGATTTTAATTTATTATGATTTTTGGTTTATCTTCTTTCTTTCTTTTTTTTTTTTTTCTGGTTCTTGTTTTAACTCACCAGGAAGTTCAGAGAATGGTTCAATATCGGGCAACGTGGGGCTTGTAGCGGCGGCGAGGGACTTGGAGGTGAACAGGCTTCCGGTGACGGCTGCAGAGGAGGTGTCATCGGCAAACAGTGTGGGATCACCATTTCAGATGAATTTTGGCATATATATAAATAATGGAAATGAAAATCTTGGAGGAAACGACGTCACAGAGACAGAAAGAGTGTCTTCTAGAGCCAGTGATGACGATGAAAACTGCTTAAACACGAGAAAAAAACTCAGATTATCTAAAGAACAGGCCGCTTTTCTTGAAGAAAGCTTCAAAGAACACAGCACCCTTAATCCTGTGAGTTTAAATTAGAGGGACTGAACCAATACAATACAAAAATATATACATATTTTTTCAAATTTGTTCTATTTTCATTTGGATTATGCAGAAACAAAAGTTGGCACTTGCAAAACAGCTCAATCTTAGGCCTAGACAAGTTGAAGTCTGGTTTCAGAACAGAAGAGCGAGGTTTGTTTGTACTAAATTAGGTCCATGTCAATACGAGATTATTCAGTAGTTGCACCTTGACGCTCTTCAGTTAATATTGGATTATTCATGCAGTTGTGTGTGAATTTATGCAGGACCAAGTTGAAGCAAACAGAAGTAGATTGTGAGTATTTGAAGAGGTGTTGTGAGACACTAACAGAAGAAAACAGAAGGCTGCACAAGGAGTTGCAAGAATTGAGGGTTCTCAAGAATTCAAATCCATTCTACACACAACTCCCGGCCACCACCCTCACCATGTGCCCCTCTTGTGAACGCGTAGCCACCACTTCCACCCCCACTACAGCCACCACCAACACCACGACGACGACGAATGCTAAAACCACCACTGTTGACTCTACAGCAAAACCCATAAATCCATTTCCTCTGACTAGACCAAGGTTTTATCCCTTCTCCCAAACACCACCACCTGCCCACCACCACCACCAGTCTGCAGCCTCATGAATACAATGGAAAATTCAATTTCTATGTGAATTGTGTAGATATACTGAAATCTGTTTTTATTTTGTTTGTCTTTGAATGGGCCTTGGTTTGATGTTTTAAAGGGTGTAGTGATCCACTTGTGAGCATTTTTTCAGCTCATAATATTATGTGAATTTTGTGGAAGAAAATACCAGTTAGAAAAATAGTAAATATTTTGGTAAGGAAAAGGTGTAGTGGCCAGCCAGGCGCCAGCCCTTATTTTCATTTCCTTGGAAACATATAAATTACAAAAGAAATTATTCCAATTATGTTATCAATTTCTTTTATTCAGTTTTATTGAACAATTGTCTTCTAATTGTTTATTTTCATTCTTAATTCCTAAATATTCGCTTACAAATAATTTAATAAATTTTGAAATTTGAGCAATATGTTTTTGAACATGGGCTAATTATTAAAAATGAATTTTAAATATTAATTTCGAAATATGTTGAACATAAAAAGAAATAATAGTCCAAAACATAAGTTTTGTGGTGCTTGATCGATGGTTTCAGGAAACATCGCACATAAAGTTCTCAATCTTTAGGGATTTGAAGAAGTTGATCTTTAACAGTTTTTAGTGAAACTAATAGTAACTTTCATTTTTGTAGCAAGTTGTCTCCACGACAAATAAGAAATCATTTCTTTAAGAATAATGCTATGTAGCATTACTCTTTTTCTAATAAAACGATACCATTGCTTTATTTCCATAAAAAAGATAACCAAAAAAATAATGAGTTCGTTTCCCTTGTACCCTAAATTGCCAATAGTTGGAGGTTATCATCGACACGGAGAATCGGACTCAAAGGACCCGTGAGGGAAAGGGGAAAAATTGGTTGGGAAGAGAGAGGAGACGGAAAATGCAACCAGCCAAATAGATACGATGAAGGAGAAATAGTTGCTAAGTGGAGATATACGAGGGATATGGTGGAGGTGCGAAGTGCGATCTGAATTGGAACGGACGACACATGAAAATGTGCAAGTCAAGTGCATTTTGACATCATTCATCTACGACAAACTCGATATAAATTTTAAAACCTAAATAAAGATCAACTTTCTAAAATTTATTAGGTGAGGACTTCTCGTGGGCGCATTTTTCCAATGGATAAATTGGTTTGTCCCGGGTTGAAGGCAAAAAGGTGTGCCATTGGGTTCCCTCTTTTCAATGATTTCATTCAAACCCCATTAATTGTGAATGAATCATTTATGTCAAAGGACTAAGTGAATGGGGACAAAAGGTAGTGTGTTCATGAAGATGTCCGCTAAAGTGTGATGGCTAGTTGTACCCTTTATAAACACCAATTATTAGTACACACAAACTAACATTTCTAGTTATTCAATTCTTTTCGTCTACTTTTTGCACCATTCTTTTGATATACTCATCTCATGACCATATTATAGTGTTATTAGATTGAGCTTTTATTATGCCCACATGTCACATCTCCAAGTGGTGAAAAGGAAAGGTGAAAAAATTCCAGTTTTGTTTGAGGTTGTCGCGTCAAGGGTTCGAATCCTGAAATATAGATTTGGCGTTTGAGTAAATACAAGTGTATAAGTAACCTTCCACCCTATACCCTTGGAGACATAACATGTGATTTACCTCATTCACCAAGGCTTAGGACATGACAGGTGGGGGCTGCCAGGATGTGGTCCATCCTTTTTTAGATTGAGCTTTTAGTCTAATCTAATTTACTAAATATATTATGACAATAGTATCTGTGTCACTATTTCGTATCAAATTTTATCTGGTTCAATGTATCTGTTAAAACAAACGAAAGATACCTAAGGAAAATAATTGTTTATCTTGAAAGTTCCTCAAGCTCTGTATTGATAAAATAAAAGGGAAAAAGCACTTGACATAACTTTGGAGCCGATGCATACCTCTAACAATTGTTGTTTCATACCGGCTAGGGCGTAAACTATAGAGTTATATAATTGTAAGGAGATGTTTGACTAAGCTTAAAAGTTTACATATACAAGTAATTCTCTTTCCACTTTCATTCTAAGTAACCCTTTTTAATTATGAAAAAGTAACTTCCAAAATATGTTTCAAAATAAAAAAAGTTACTTAAATAATTTCAAACATAGCTAAACATGATACAAGTCCCACGTATGATCCTTGTCTAGCACTTTGTGGACTTCCATATCCAAAAGACAACCACTTGCCCATGATTAACCCAACAACTTAGCACCAATTTATGATAGTTGTCACATGCATTGCCCTATTTTATAGTTCATGATAGGGGGTCACATAAAATGTGAATTAGATTTTGATGATTTTAATAATCAACCGACCATGGACCCACCACATTATCCTTTATTGGGAATTAATCACTTAAATACAAAATTCTATCCTAATATTTATATTTAATCCAATGATTTGTCAAACAATTTTGTTTGTATCTCTCTCCTCTCTTTCATTTCAAAAAGCAATTTTGAATAGTAAACAACCATAATAACCAGAATAATTAATGATATCAACTTCATATCTTTTCAAGTTGGCTTTAGTGTGCTTATTTTCAACCGTTGATGTTGTTATCCATTACGCGTTTAGTTACTTGTGGAGAAAGTGCGTAAAAAATTGTGAATTTGAACGAAATTGAAAAGAGGAAAGTTTATTTGATAAAGTGCGATTTTTACCCCTTTTTTGTCGGATAGTTTACAGTAAAAATGTATCATATCCCGTGACAAAAGCAAGGATTTACATCATCAAGCGTGCATGATCATTGTTTCTATTTGGGTTTCATTTTATTTTTCAAGAAACAAATAGTTGACAAGTGAGTAAGTCATATTGTATAGTTAAAATTGGTTTTTAATTTTGAAAAATAGAATTTTAAGAGTAGAAAATGAAACCCCAACAGAAGTAATTTGTTAATGAATTATATTTTAATCATTTATTATAATTATAAGCAACATGGATAATAAAAAAATCACTAACAACCATATCTTAATGCAAATATCATCTGCTGCATCTAAAGTATTACCTCTGTTGAAGATATGAATATAAAAAGAAATTCTCTCGTTTAACATCTTTAATTTAATTTAAAATTATCACTTTTTTTTTTGCCCCATTTACTTATTTATTTTTTAAAATTTTTATTTAAATTAAAAAAGAAAAAGAAAATAAGAAATCATATTTGGATTCGAGCGTGGTGACTGCAGTAATTTTTTATATTATTTAAAAATTTAAATGGTTAGAAAATGAACAAGATAAAGCATGATGTAAATCAAGGGCACGGGAGATGACATTTTTTATTCTAAAAAGTAATTGGTAGTGTTGTTGAAAATTAAGGATTGACCAATAGACATATTTCAAACTTCATCTTATCCTTAGAATCTTTTAAAATAAATAATGATTTGAGGTACGAAATTGAGATTGTAACAAACTTCCATTACAAAAAAGGTGTGGTAGGTGGACTCATTCTGTTCATATTCACAATAGCAATGCCCTGAGTGCAGAGCTTCTTCTTACCGTAAGGCCTCTCACATGTGGGGCGGACCCCACATGTATTAAAAAAAATTTTTGCCTCGACCCCACCTGCTGTGTCTGGCCGGGCAGGGACCTGTGAAAAAGGTCCCTGTACTCCAATCACAGTCCTACTTACAATAGTTTTCTTAATTGTGTTACCTAGATTTATTTATTTATTTATTTATATACACACTATGTTTGGTTGGTGGGATAATGATTAAATTGAGTGAAATAAATGAGAAATGACAAATGACAAATGACGGAAAATTTATATTTCTTTGTTTGGTTGGTCTACGAGAAAATTCACGAGGGATGAAAGTAAGTTTAAAAAAAAAAAAAATTCAAGTCTACAAGCAAGGAGTGTGAACGATGTGAAAAGCAAACAAAGATACGTTACTTGTAGCATTCCATTATGGGAAGCTCGGAGGTAAATATAGATAGACAAACTCCCTATTGCAACGAGGGCTATCTTCCAGGGTTGTGTGACAAATTTTCATGTTAGGTGACGACTATATGAAAAGTTGTCATTGGACAGACAAGAAGTGTGGAGTGGCCTAAAACATAATTAGTCATATTGGCTCCTGTTTGATTTCCATGAAGGGTCCGTTTAATTGCAAATCTGAAAAATTGGTGGAAAGAAAATGAAGTTCAGGGAATTAAATTGCTTAGAAATTATTTTACTAGTAATTATAATTAATTGTATTTGATTTGTATAATTTTTCACCTGAAAAATGTTGAAAGTTTGGTTTCCGTTTGACTTTGTTTTTCATGAAAATTGTCCATTAAAATGATAATTTTTTCTACCATTGAGTCTAGAATTTGTTCCAATTTCCAAAAAATTAAAAAAAAATTACAATTTTTTTTCTATTCCGAATATCATTTGTTTAGCTTTGTTTTATATGAAAATTGTCAATAAAAGTGCTAAATTTTTTTACCATTGTATCTAGAATTTTTTTTAATTGCCAAAAAAAAAAAAACCTGGAAAACCATTTTCCCACCACTTTGGTGGGAAAATGATTTCAAGGAAAATCAAAAAAATGTGAGTGTGCGAGGAAAAGTGGGAAAAGTATTTGCCTAGAAAAAGAAAAACTATCAAACAAAGAAAAAGTGGAAAAATGAAAAACAAATTCCATTTTCCGTGGGATTGGCCCCCTATTTAAAAAAAAAGAGTTTCAAATAATATTTTTAGGAGAATGTGGAATTAAAAAGAAGGAAAAAGTTTCGAGACAACATTTAAAATATTTTATTGTGTGAATGTATAGTTGAAAATAATCATATAACGAACCATAAAGTAAATTAATGGAAATCAAACAGGCCCTAAAATTGAAGGAGGACTATATTGTGGATCAACTAGTAGATGACTTCTAGAACAATAGGTCCATTATTAATTTTGAGAAAAAAAAAAGTAATTAATATTACAGCGAGCAAATTAAGCAGATTTAATAAATAAAATGCATCAAACAATGCCTAATAGTTTTAATTACTTTACCTCAATGACAAGGAAACGGTAAAAACT